AAATAAAGAATGATTATATATTTTCACAAAATATTCCATTAGATGAACGAATTCATTGTTCCGAACCAATTGTAGAAAAAACTGATTGTCAAGTTATTTTACTTTCTGGTTTAAATGGATCAGGAAAAACTACATGGGCAAAAAAATATATGGAAGAAAATCGAACAAAAAATTTCAATTTAATTAATGCTGAATATATTCTTAGTAAAATGACGGTAGGTTCATAGATTATGAATTGTTTGAAAAAAAAATTTATTTTTTCGTTTTCTTTTAAAGATCGATGGTAAATTACCAACAATTAAAGATCGTAATGATGGTTTGATGTTACGTGTTAATATTTGTTTACAAAAAATAATTGAAATAGCTGCACAACGTCGACGAAACTATATTATTGATCATGTAAATCATCTTGCTTATTGATTATTTTGTTTTTTTTATATAAAAATTGATTTATTCAGGTTAATCTAAGTCGAGAAACACAAGCTAAACGTCAACGATTATTTACTGGTTATCAACGTATTGGTGTTGCTATTGTACCTGATGATGATGAATTGAGAACACGTATTGAAAAAGTTGAAAAATCTGAAAATATTTCTATACCTTCACAATGGATTCGAGAAGCTAAAGGTATTTATAAGAAATAAAATATTTCTTTTTCTCTATTTATATTTTTTTTAGCTAAATTTCATTTCCTACAAAAAAGTTCTTCATTAGAAGATGTGATTTATGCAGAATTGTCTTATGAAGATGCAAAAACATTATATGATAAAGCTCGTCGAGATTATGATCAACATCGTTCATCATCATCACGTTATGATCGACATGATGATCATCGTTCATCACGAAATGATCGAAATCGTTATGATGATCGAGAACGTGGTAGTCGTGATCGTGATCGATATAATCGATCGCGGTCACGTGACCGTGGAAGTCGAGATAGAGATCGTGATCGTGATCGAGATCGTGGTGGTCGTGATCGTCGAACATCACGTGAAGAATCTCGTTATTCATCATCACGTCGCAATGATAATTATGGCGGTGGCGGCGGTGGTGGCCATAATAATAATTATCGCGGCGGCGGCGGCGGTGGTGGTGGTGGTGGTGGGTATTCACGTGGTGGCGGTGGCGGTGGTTATTCTGATTATCGACAAGATTCAAGAAATAATAATTATAATCAACGTGGTGGATTTCATGAAGGAGGTTATCATGGACGAGGAGGTAATAATTATAATAATAATCAATCAAATGATGGTTGGCGTGGTGGTGGCGGCGGCGGTGGTGGTGGATTTCATCAACAGAGAAATGATTTCGGTGGTGGTGGTAGCAATCGTGGTCGCGGAGATTATCGTGGTGGAAATCAATTCAATAATCGAGGCTCATATCACGACAATCAACGTGGTGGCGGCGGTGGTGGTGGTGGATTTCGATCCGATTTTAATAATCAACAACGTGGTCGACAATTTAATGAATTTGATAATAACTCTCAACATCAGGCTGGCAGCAGTGGTGGTGGTGCTGGTGCGGGATTTATGCCAAATAATAATAATAATTTCAATCAACAACATGATCGACAAGGATTTGGAAATCGAGTAAGTAACTCATTTAAAATAATTTGAATTAAATCATTGTATTTTTTTTTATTAAAGTCATCAATACCGCAGCAACAGCCACAAAATCCATTTCAGAACCCACAACAACAACAACGTCCACAACCGCTTCTGCAAAATCCACCATCTAATCAACAACAATTTCCTTCTCAACAAACAGCAATCCAAAATCCAAATGCTGGTTTATCGCTACAAACACAAAACCCATTAGCTACTAATCCTGCCGGTGTACAACAACAAAACTCACTTGATTCATGGTTTGCATTATATGCAGCTGCACTTAATCCTCAAGCAGCTCAGCAGCAGCAGCAACAACAACAACAACAGCCACAACAACAAATTCAACCACAACAAGATGCTAATTCAATAACTCAACAATGGACGCAATGGTTAAAAACAGCACAAATGGTTAATATACTGAAAAAAGAATTATTTGTTTTCTTTAAACAATAAACATTTTTCTTTTTCATTTAGGGTCAAGCGGCACAACAACAGCAGCAACAACAACCACAATTAACAGTTCAACAACCTGACTCTCAACAACAAAATCAACTTCCTGATGCAACTGCTTTGTATTATCAAGCATATTATGCTCAATTAGCTGCTGCTCAACAACAAGCAGCAGCAGCCGCTGCAGCGGCAGCTGGAACTGGTTCATCAAATGGTGCTGTCGCACCACCTGGTATCAATGATAAATGACTTTCCTGAATTTCTACCTAATGTACATATACATTTAAAATAAGAACAAGTGGTCATTTTGTATTTGTTCATAAATATGAAAAAAATCTCAATTTTAAAAATTGAGAATATTTGAATATGTTGTTGTTTGTATGTAACTAACCTTTACTTTGTTTATGTATCTGTTATGAAGATAGGAGAAAAAAAGAAATATATCTATGTGTCTGCGTATTTGCTTCCTTTTTTTTGCTATTCGTGTAAGTGTATGTGTTATAGACTAAAAAAAGAAATATACTGAAGTGGTTGAAATTTTGTTTGTCCTTTTTCTTGCATATTATTTGCAAGTTAAAAAAATTTTGTCATTTTTTTTCTCTTTTGCTAATGTAGATGTCTGTCATTGATACAATTGATGGATTTGATAAATTAGAATTTAATGATATACGTGCATTTGCAGCAGCGTCAGCATTAATTGCAAAATCTATTGAACAATATAATAATGATCCATCAACGGCTATCAATGGACTGAAATTATTATATGAAAATGAGTATGTTAATAGTTAAATTTATATTAATTTAATAGATTCATTATAGATCAGCAGAAATAACACTTCAACAAAAAGAAATTGAACGTGAATGGCTTGAAAATAATAATGAAATAATGTAAGTATTAACCCTAGCAGTACCAGCCGGGGTCATTTTTGACCTCGCTAGTGATAAATGTAACAATATGATAAACTTTTGGATTATTTCGTAATTTTTACGGACAAGTGTCGGGCGAGTTTAACTATGCAGTTTGGAGTACGAGTGAGTGTAGGATATGTATGAGCCAAGACAAGAGTGAATCCAAAGCGATAGCGACAGAAGGATGTGTCGATATGAAGTGAACCTCAATTCTTGCTTAGGGCATTGGTTTTTAATAGGACAGACAATCACATTAAAATTCATTGGCAGGGCTCATTCACAGTAAAATAAAACTGCAAAACTGAGGGCGGTACTACTAGAGTTAAACAAGGGGTAAACAACAGAGACTTCATGCCTGAAGTCTCATGAAGTCTCACGAAATCTTTGAAGTCTCTAGAAGTCTTCGGAAGTTTTGCGAAGCCTCATGAAATCTTCTAAATTCCTATACATGCATTTATTTCACGAGGAGACGAGGGAAGAACAACGGAAACTTCATGCATGAAGTCTCTTGAAGTTTATGAAGTCCCTTGAAGTCTTTTGAAATCTGAGAAGTCTCTTGAAGTCCGCTGTTATCCCCTTGGTATTAAATTATATTATCTATCTCGTTTGTATTATCATTACTTATTTCATAGACCATTTACAACAATATTGGATTCTTGTCTTGGTTCATCAGATCGTCCTAAAATCATCGAACAATCACTTTATCTTCCATTTCGTACTGATCAACCTATGGAATATGAACCAATACAATGGCAAGCCGATTCATCATCAACATCACGTTTCATTGTACAACCACCATCACCAAATCGAATATTACAACCTCGTAATGAACCAAATAATAATACACCTGTTATTCTTATTGATGATAATGATGATCAAAATTATGTTGATGCAAATGGTGATGAAGAAAATGAAGCACCAAAAATAACGAAGAAAAAAGGTAAAAAGAAAAAACAACAACCAAAAGTTATTGAGGATAATAATGATACATCAATACAATTAAATACTTCATCAAATCGAACATCAACTAATGGTCAAAAACTTCCAGTAAATATTTTTCTTTTTTTTTTTGAAAATTATTTTCTCTTTTATTTAGCAAAAATTATCATCAAAATGGTCAGCTGGTAAACGTATATCTGGTTTTGGAACTGGTAAAACAAGTGCGATTCGCAAAGTAAATTAAAAGAAAAATATGAAAATTTTTTAATATATATCTATTATTTAGTTTGCACGTCCATCAAATGATCGTCAACAACGTCCTGATTCTCGTACATTATTTCGTAATAAACCATCAGTTACAGGTAATACATCACGTCTAAGTCAAGAACAACGTGATCAATTAGCACGTGCTGTTGAAGAACGTAAACAAGAAGAACGTAAACGTAAAGTTGAAAAATGTAAGTAACATCAATATTGATTTTTCTTAATCGAATGACTCTTCTTTTTTCTTAAATAGTACATGAACAAGCAAAAAAACGTGAAGAAGTTCTTAATCGTGCTAAATTAATTCAACAAGATAAAGAACAAAAAAATCAATTACGTGTTTCAGATAATCAAGGAAAAATAGCAGCAGGTGCAGCAAATAATAAAAAATTACAAGGAAATACTTTTAATAATTCCACAACATTTAATAATTCAATGAATGAATCAACAAATCTTCC